GAGCCTGTCAGAAGAGAGGCATCAGAGAAGCCAAAGTGAATTACAAGCAGAGGATTGAGGAGGAATTCAGCAGCAACAACATCCAGGGGATGTGGCAGAGGGTCCAGCACATCACTAACTTCAGATCCAGCAAAAACACCAAAATCTGTGGCAATGCTTCATTGGAAGCGCTTTGAGAGACTTATTCAGAGTCACATCACTTCCCATCTGTCAGCCAAACTCAACCCCCACCAATTTGCATACAGAACCAACCGGTCTACAGAGGATACCATCCTCTACCATGTAGAATAGCAAAGGAGCTGCGCGAGGCTACTCTTCCTGGACTTCAGCTTGGCTTTTAACACCATCATTCTGAGGAGACTAGTGAGGAAACTTTCATCGGATCTGCAGCTGTATGTCTTGGACACTCGGATGAAGAGAGGCGCGGAGTTGTCCACTGACCACTACCTGACCACTACTCAACTGGTGGTGAGTTGGCTAAGTTGGTGGGGGAGGATGGCGGTCAGACCTGGCAGGCCCAAACATGTTGTGAGGGTCTGCTGGGAACGTATGGCCGAGTCTCCTGTGAGTCGGAGCTTTAACTCCCATCTCCGGCAGAGCTTTGAACACGTCATGTGGGAGTTGGGGGACATTGAGTCTGAGTGGGCCATGTTCCGTGCCTCCATTGTCAAGGCAGCTTATCGGAGCTGTGGTCGCAAGGTTGTCGGTGCCTGTCGTGGCGGCAACCCTCGAACCCGTTGGTGAAAACTTTCGGTGAGGGATGCCATCAGGCTGAAGAAGGAGTCCTATCGGGCCTTTTTGGCCTGTGGGACTTCGGAAGCAGCTGATGGGTACCGGCAGGCAAAGAGGTGTGCGGCTCGGGTGGTTGCTGAGGCAAAAACGTGGGCATGGGAGGAGTTCGGAGAGGCCATGGAGAAAGACTTCTGCATGGCTTCGAAGTGAGGGGGAAGCGGTGTAGCACCAACACTGTTTACAGTGGGGGTGGTGTGCTGCTGACCTCGACTCGGGACGATGTGGGCCGGTGGGCGGAATACTTCAAAGACCCCCTTAACCCCACCGACATGGAAGCTGAGGAAGGTGAGCCTGGGGACTCTGGGTTGGGCTCCCCAATCTCTGGGGACGAGGTCGCCGAGGTGGTTAAAAAGCTCCTCAGTAGCCAAGCCCCGGGGGTGGATGAGATTTGCCCGGAGTTTCTTAAGGCTCTGGATGTTGTAGGGTTGTGTTGGTTAATGCGACTGTGCAGTATCGCATGGACATTGGGGGCAGTTCCCCTGGATTGGCAGACTGGGGTGGTGGTCCCCCTGTTTAAAAAGGGAGATCGGAGGGTGTGCTCCAACTATAGAGGGATCACACTCTTATGCCTCCATGGCAAGGTCTATTCGGGGTCCTGGAGAGGAGGGTCCGTCGGATAGTCAAACCTCGGATTTTGGAAGAGCAGTGTGGTTTTCGTCCTGGTGGTGGAACACTGGACCAGCTCTACACCTTCAGCAAGATCTTGGAGGGTGCATGGGAATTCACCCAACCAGTCCACATGTGTTTTGTGGACTTGGAGAAGGCATTCGACTGTGTCCCTCGGGGTGCCCTGTGGGGGGTTCTCAAGGAGTATGGGGTACCGGGCCCTTTGATGCAGGCTGTCAGGTCCCTGTATGACCGGTGTCAGAGTGAGATCCGCATTGCTGGCAAGAAGTCGGGCTCATTTCTGGTGGGAATTGGACTCCGCCAGGGCTGCCCATTGTCACGGATTCTGTTCATTACTTTTATGGACAGAATTTCTAGGTGCAGCCAAGGTGTTGAGGGGATCTGTTTAGGATTGCATCTCTGCTTTTTGCGGATGATGTGGTCCTGTTGGCTTCATCGGGACATGATCTCCACCTCTCGCTGGAGCGGTTCGCAGCCGAGTGTGAAGCGGCCAGGATGAGAATCAGTTCCTCCAAGTCCGAGGCCATGGTCTTGAGCCGGAAAGGGATTGAGTGCCTTCCCCGGGTCGAGGGGGACGTCCTGCCCCAAGTGGAAGAGTTCAAGTGTCTTTGGATCTTGTTCACGAATGAGGGCAGAAGGGAGCGGGAGATCGGCAAGCAGATTGGCGCAGCGTCCACCGTGAAGTGGGCGCTGTGCCAGTCCGTCATGGTGAAGAGAGAGCTGAGTCAAAAAGCGGTAAATCGTAGATCGATTTACTAGTCGATCTATGTTCCTACCCTCATCCATGGTCATGAGCTTTGGGTCATGATCGAAAGAACGAGATCTTGGATACAGGTAGCCGAAATGGGTTTCCTCCGTAGGGTGGCTGGGCTCTCCCTTAGAGATAGTGTGAGAAGCTCGGTCATCCGGGAGGGACTCAAAATAGAGCTGCTGCTCCTCCACATCGAGAGGAGCTAGTTGAGGTGGCTCGGACATCTGGTCAGGATGCCTCCTGGACGCCTCCCTGGTGAGGTGTTTCGGGCACGTTCCACCGGGAGGAGGCCCCGGGGAAGACCCAGGACACGCTGGAGGGACTATGTCTCTCGGCTGGCCTGGGAACGCCTTGGGATTCCCCCAAAGGAGCTGGAAGAAGTGGCTGGAGAGAGAGAAGTCTGGGCCTCCCGTCTTAAGCTTCTACCACTGCGACCCGACCCTGGATAAGCGGCAAACGATGGATGGATGGAGGTTTGGATCACCGAGAACATTTATGTTTTTAAAAATCAAGTTAAAGCCAGAATAACTTCCGGTTCAAAAGTAAAACGACCTGCAGTCCAATCAACAATTTCTTAGGTCTCCCACTGGGACATACCTCTTCCGTTTTCATTAATGTTGTAGTGTTTTTGCTAATGTTGTAGTGTTTTCGTTCATGTTGTATTGTTTTCGTTCATGTTGTAGCAGTTTTGTTATTTGTAATTGTGCTTTCAATTTGTTGTACCACTTTGCACTTCAGGGCCACCGTACAAAACTGATCAAAATAGCACAAAAAAAGAAATGTCATTTTGGACATGTTTATTTTTGAGGATGTACCAAAAAAACCATTGTACACTAAGGAATCCAAGTGGCACTCCAAAGTGTGCCATTTGGAGTCTCCATTTGGCGTCTCCAAATGACACACTTGGACAACACCTAATATACAAACTTCAAATGACTGTCACTCCTCAGTGCTTCAACATACAGACATCAATGAGGGCGCCAATGAAAGATAATGATCAGAGGACTCCTCTGATAGACATTATTACGGATAGTGAAAATTACTTTTAATTCTATAAATAAAATAGCATACATGGGGAGGTGGAGGGGGTTAGCACACAGTCAGACCTCATCCCCCTTCTTGCAATATACTATCGGTCCATCCTCCCCCTCCATTTGCACCCCCTCAGCACTCAACAATACATAAGCCCCCTCTTCCCCCATTATCTGCCCTTCTTTGCCCCCCCAGTCCACCCTCCACCCCTGCAATCTTCTACTACTCCCCCACCTTCTTCTCTTTTCTTCCTTCCATGCACCCCTCCTTCTTCGCCCCCTTTTAGGCCCCCTCAGTCCGCCAAATCCCCCCCACTTTCCTTCTTCACTCCTCTTAAGTTTAATGAAGTCCCAGCTATGTGTGTAGAAGGTATTCCAAAGATACTCCAAAGAAAATGTGGCTTAGAAAGCTGAAATACCAAGAAACAATAGCATTTGCAACACTATTGGCTGGGGTTTTAAAAAGCAGCCAATTCAGAAGCTTCATTTATGTCCCTTGGCACTGACATTTCCAGACCCTGAAAAGTGTGAAAATTAGGAAGACTGTAGATGTTAGTTTCTGCAATTGTGCTTAGACAGTTTCCACTGTGTGTAATGCATTAATGTATTGAAATGTATTAATGCATTTCAAGATGCATTAATACATTTCAAAATGCATTAATACATTTCAATACGTTAATGCATTACACACAGTGGAAATGCATTAATCACAATTGCAGAAAATTGCAGAAACTAACATCTAGTCTTCCTAATTCAGTGCTGTTTGAACTATTAAATAAGCACATATGAAGGGGTTTCAGGTATTCAGCTTTGAGTGGGTTAGTAGTAGTCACTAACCCCTACCTGAGGCCCTTTTATCTCTAGTAGTTGAAAACATAATACGGTAAGGGACAGCTGGAGTGTTCTCTTTGATTTTTTAATAAGGAGCTGATTTTATGGCCGTGAGAATTTTGAGTTCCAGTGATTTTTTTGCTTGAAAAAAAAACTGTTCATGCAGGACCAGTGATTTAGGAATAGACTGAGCTTCAGAGCACTCAAGACAACTTTTGAGTTTCTCAAAAAAAAAAAAAAAAAAAACTAGGACAGAGTTGGGACAGCAAAATCTAGGATAATAAAATAGAATGCTACATTCATAGATTTTATTATGAAATTGGTTGCATCCATGGTGTACTTCCATATATCACTGTCTTTGTAGTGGGAGCGATGAGTGCAGGCCTGGTTAACAGTGTATTTCTGTGTCAGCTGGGACAGGAAGGCTAGAGTTGGGGAAAACAATCGTTTTTGGAACGCAGCAAATGCTGCCAACCACAAATACCAGAAGCACGACTTCAGCTCCCCTCATCTTTATGAACATCATCATCCCCATCATCGGTCCTCCGGGATCCAAAGCCAGAGTTAATCTGTATGAAATTAAACTTTACTTACAATGTACAAAGCGCAGTAATTGCGTATATATGTTCCAACAACGGTGATAGGTGCTCGTTTTCTTGGCACCAGACTGGGGGTGCTGCAGTGAGCCTGGGAAAGCAAGCAAGCAGCGATTGGAAGACAACAGGCCCCTTCAAATAAAACCTCCCCTCCTCCTGCATCTTCCTGCTCAAAAAAATCCTAAACGGAACTGAAATGGACTGTCGAAGTTGGGTTCATTATCCCGCAACCAGCGTTGCATCCCCTTCCGCTGTCTCCCACACCCTCCCCCGGTGTGCGTTCCAGCCGGTGTTTTCTTAACGCTTCCATCCAATTAGCTCAGTTCGGAGCAAGCTAAGTCTCGCTGCCCCAGCCGCCGATGCAGCGCTTACCTCTTCCTCCTGCGGACCTCCGGGAATCCCCGAGGAGCACGAAGAGTCCAAGCCTGGGCCCAGCTCCTCCAGGCCGCTCTCCCTTCCCGGCTCCCGCTCCGTGGCGTCTCCGTTGAAGACGGGCGGTGGAGACTCGGCGCTGCTCAACGCCGCCATTTTAAACTGCGAGAAGCAGAGTGGAAAATAATAGAGGAAAAGGCAGGCTGGTGCTGAGGACAGGAGGGGGAGACAGAGACGCAAGAAGAGACGACGGGGTTCTCTCCGGTCCACCTGATCATCGGACAGTCAGTTAAACTGATCTCATATGGTTTATTTCATGACAACTTATTCAAATGATATGACACAACCAAAACAAAGTAGTTTAAAAAGTTTACTGAATGGAAACATCTCAAATGATTAAAAATCACCAAATCTTTTCAAACTTTTCAGGTTCAACAGATTAAAAATCTACAAAACAGCCCACATTTCTGTATTATATGCTTTATTAATGATTTAAAATTATAGTCCTACATGTCATAATTGCATTCACTGTCAAAATAAAATAACAATTGTCAGAAATAAAGGTTTGGAAACATCAGTCTGCATGGAACTATCTGTTTTACATTTAGATTACTTTAAAATATATATGTTTAAATACTATTCTATATATGTTAAAGACATTAAAGTTTTTTGAATATTCTATTTTATGGTATAAAATAGAATATTGTGGATTGCAGTCTAAGAACACTCTATCTGCATGGTACTTGATACTATGGATCAAGAACCAATATAATTCTGAAAAGTCACCTCACCTCCACTGTTAATGCAGAGCATTAAACAAATTAAGAATTAGGAAATATAGCAGGAATAACTTTTACAGAAAAAGCACAGATGTTTTCTTGTTCTTTTCAAACTTGACTCCATACTAACATTTTATTAGCTGTCCAACAGGGGGTCAATCCTAACTCATTCCATTTGATGTGAAAAAAGAAGGTTGCATGTCAACTAATTTGAAGCCAAATTCATCATTCCTAAAAACAAAGATAAAGTTGCTAATGCAAAACACAAATTTTAGCTTATTTGTTGCCTGTTTTAGAAATATACATTCATTAATTTTACGAGAATCCATTATTTATTTTTTCATTCTTGAACAATTTTATAAATTATTCCTGTAGTTGAGCTGAAAAGTAAACTGGTGAAGTTGCAAAAATGTCAATAATCCTTTTGAGAATACAGGATAGAATATAACATTCAAGTGTAATTGTAGCAAGTTAATGGAAACCAGTATATTACAAAAGATGTGCAATAGAGAATGGTTATTGGAAAAAGTTTACCAGGTGTGCATGCATATTCTTGCAGAAAAACAACTACTTAAGATAAATTAATAAACTTGAAGTCTTACAACTGCTGGGAGGAAAGATCTGCAATGATAGTCATTGTGCCTAGGATGCAGCAATCTGTTACTGAAGAAGCTCTCAAGTTCCTTTTAGGATTTCTTTTTTTCTAATAGTCAAAAATGTTTTCTTTCTTGGGTATTATTCTATTTTTAACCAAATAAATCATCTTAAGATGGAATAAAAAACTTGTAGAACATTCTCTAGAAATTTTTTATCATCATTCAAATCTTTTTATTCGTTTTAGAAATATAAGAACAACAAAACAAAACAACAACAGATGCTGAACATCATGTACTTAATAAGAAGGAAGGAGAGGAGGGAAGAATAGGGGGCAAGTGAGAGGGTATATATTCAGGAGGACTTTGTCTCAAAATACAAAATGATTGGCTGCCAGGTAATGTTGTATTGTTGAACTGAGTCATTAACTGTATGTTTCAGATGCACAAGCTTCAGATGAAACATAACATATTCCATCCATTTTTTATGAGACGGAATATTAGATGTCTTACAAGCAGTGTCACAAATGCTGTGGCATTGGCCTGCTGCGTTGTTATTTGTGTTGTTGGAGGGACAACCCCAAATAAGGAAGTTAGAGCACTTTGATCGATTTTCCTCTTGCAGGTAAATGATTGGAATCGTCCTGAAGATTGACTCCCAAAAGGGGAGGAGCCTGGGGCAAAGCCAGAACATATGACTGAGCAGGAGTGTGCCCACACCTAACACAAGATGAGTCTGTGCCAGAATACATTCTGGATAGTTTAATAGGGGACAGGTACAACCTGTGCAGCACCTCAAACTGTAGCAGACTGTGTCTAATGCAAATTGAAGAAGAGTGGATTCCTTTTTAGCTGTTCAAAATAAATAAATTGGCCTCTTTCAAAAAGGTCCTTTATGCAAGTTATGCCATGCTTATGCCACTTCTGAAAGGATGTATCTATCAAGGATGGGGTGGTCTGGACATTGCCTCGTACAGGAGATGCAGTTAGTGCATTTCTACACTTAAAATGAGTCCTAAATTGGGACCATATCTATAGAGTGCTCCCAACAACTGGATTGTTTGTCTTGTGACATTTACTCAATGGTAAAGGGCTACGTATTAAAGTACAGAAAACTGGGCCGAATCCAAATTTTTTGAGTGTATTGAACAAAAACTCATTTTCAATTCTGTCAAATGCCTTTTGGGCATCAAGGGATATTACCACTTCAAATTCGACCTCATGGCATTGATAGGTTACATTAAAGAGACATCGCAAATTACTGGATATCTGCCTGCCCCTAACGAAGCCTGTCTGGTCTGAGTGGATGAGTTTAGGAAGAACATCTTCAAGCCTGCCAGCAAAAGCCTTTGCTAAGATCTTATCACAACATAGCAAACTAATTGGATGATATGACTCACAGAGCAAGGGATCTTTAGACTTTTTAAGTATCAGTGAAATAATTGCCTGTGTCATAGTCACAGGTAGAGCCTTTTTATCTAATATCTCCCTAAAAACTCTTAGCAGTAAAGGGACCAATTTTGGTGCAAATTTTTTAAAAAAAACTATGGGAAACCCATCAAGGCCAGGTCCCTTTCCAGGTTTCATTTTTGTGATAGCCTGAGTTATTTCTGATATAGTGACATTGCCCTCCAACTTAGCTTTGTCCGAGTCATCCAGCGTGGATATAGTGAAATTGCCGAAAAAGTCTTCAGTCAAGGCAGTGTCTCTAGCCTTAGAAGCATACAAATTCTCATAAAATGACTTAAACTGGGTATTAATCTTGCTTTGGTTAGTAAGTATACTATCATGCTCCTACTTTATCACTGTAATGAAACCTGCAGTTGTTGACTGTTTAAGTTGATGGGACAACATTTTGCTGGCACGATCCCCAGACTCATAACAGGTGAGACGCGACCTCATATGCATGTCTATGGCTTTGATATTAGTGACTGAATCGAATTCTGTTTGAAGTAGGATTCTTTTTCCGTGTAAATCATCAGCAGATGAAACTGAATGTAGTTGATCTACGATTTTAATTCATTCAATAAGCTCTGAAGCCCGTTTAGTCCTCCTCTTATTTTCACCAGCAACGTAAGATATCATTTGGCCTCTCAAATATGCTTTTAGGCTTTCCCAAAGTGTAGCATTACTTATCTCATGTGATTCATTCAACTCGATAAAAATATCTGTTTGTGCATTGATAAAGTCAACAAACTTTTGTTCAGACAGTAATCTTGGAGTAAGCCGCCATGAAAAGGTAGGAGGCTTGTCTTCAAGAAAGCCCAATCCCAGAGTAACCGGGGTACTTGGGTAACCATGGGCAAGAGTTTCTGATCTACTAGATCAGAAACTCTTGATCAATTAGATCAGAAACTCTGATCAATTAGAAAGCAGTCAAGCCTTGAATAAGTTTGGTGAAGAGGGGAGGAAAAAGAGAACTGCTTGGATGTCGGCTGTTTGAATCTCCACGGGTCCACCATTCCATATGTTTCAATAAATGTGTTAATACAACGGGCTGAGTTACTAAGCGTGGCAGCTTTTGGGCTGGAACGATCTAGTTTTGGGTTCAAAGTGCAATTCAGGTTTCTTGGTAACATCAAGCTGTGCGACTCAAGAGCCGGTAAGAGGAAAACAAGATTGCTAAAAAAATCCACATTATCCCAGTTAGGGGCATAAACATTAGCTAGAACAACGGGCATATTAAACAATGTGCCTTGTGTAATGACATACCTGCCATTTTTGTCCCTAATTGTGTTAGACTCTTCATATTGCACATCTTTATGTATCGAGATAGCTGCTTCTCTGCTCTTACTTTTGAAATCTGAATGAAAATATTGTATAAAGCGTCCTCTGTGAAGTCTACACTGATCTTTATTTAGCAAATTGGTTTCTTGTAAATAAACAATGCGACTTTGCAATTTATGAAGATGAGAAAATACTTTGTTGCGTTTGACTGGATGGTTTAATCCCCTGACATTCCAACTCACCAAAGTGGTGTTGGTTAGTGCCTTTTTATTTTGCAGAGGTCATAAATAGAACACAGCAAAGGAGGCATCCAACATGTAGACCATAAGGGGAATAGGGAAGAGAAAAAAGGCCAGGGAGGGGAGAGGGGAAGGTGAGGGAGGATAATGAACACAAAATTAACAAAGCACCTATAATAGAACATCAAGAAAGAAATGAAAAGAAAAAAAAATTGCCTCAAAAGGAGACTGCTATGCTTCCAGTTCTCACAATATATCTCCTCACTATCCAGACTGATAAATGCTTACCACGTTAGCCCACACCAGAACTCAGTTATAAACGGTAATTAAACGCAACAGTGCAATTTCTATAGCAATATCCACACTTATTTCCAATATGGCATCACCAGGCCCCATTAACAACGGAGGTGTCAAAAAAATGTAAAAGTCAAAACTCAGAATCAGAATTTATTAGAGATTACGGTATGTCTCTTATAGTTCGGCACTAATGTTCCTTATTGTCTTGCAATGACGCCGTCCAGTCGTAATGACTCCAGCACACACTCTTTTGTGAAAAGTCATGTTCAGTAGGGCCCTTCAGAACAAACTCCTTTGCCTGCTTTGGATCCTTGACGGCAGTTTCTTGTCCATCCGGCATAGTGATCCTTAATGTTGCTGGGTATCTGAGGCCGTAGCGGACTCCAGCGCAGTTGAGGACCAGTTTTCTTACTTCGGTAAAAGCGGCGCGTTGTTTACTCGCAGCTTGGGTGAAGTGTGGCAGGACACGGATATTGTCACTATCAGCCACTGCTGCCTTTTAGAGAAGAAATTATTTTTCCGTGAAGTAGTGACATTTAACCACAAACGCCCTTGGTAGCAAATCATCTTGTACCGGCTTTGTTCGGAGGGT